ACTGTGGCCAGGGCAAGAGTGAGGACCATCGCAACCTCCCTGGGGCCAGAGTGATGTCTCTGGCAAATGCGAGACAAAGACTCAGGCTCAGTGGAAGAAGTTGGAGCAGCTTATTAGTTTAAGCAGGATGAAATGTGTAAATTAATTACCCCGGCCACCCAGGCGTGCAGCCACCAGCCCTGCACGCTGGAAGGAATGGCAGCAGCCTTCGTCTGTCTCCTGGCTTGGCTCCCCTGCCACACACAGCCCAGGGAATCAGCCCCTCTGCCCACAGGGGTAAGGAGGACCCTGGGCTCATCCTGTCTTAGCCTTGTCTCCCAGAAACCAGGACCAGGAGGCCTTGAGTGGGGAGGATGTCCATCGTACAGGCTGGGACTGTGTCCTGCTGTCACCCTTCCAAAAGCAAGGTCCCACCGAAGGGACCAAGGGGGCACAAGTGGCCTCCTTCTGCCCCATCCTCCACTTGTCCCTGGAACTCCTGTTTACCATGTGAGCGCCATGGGCCAGGCACTGTGGCCATCCTTTTCCTCATGCTTGGTGTTTGATCCTCATGAGTCGCTGTGATTAGTCACATTTCACAGATGAGAAAACTGAGGCCCAAGAAGAGCAAGGACCCAGCTGCTGTCCCTGTTGGTCCCTGGCAGAATGAGGGGGCAGCTCACTGCCTCCTACAGGTGTGCAGGTGAGGGGCAGCGTCTGGGATGGCATCTTGCACACAAGCCTTCCCTGATCCCGTGTCATCCATAGCAGACATCCACTTCAACCAGAAGCAACTGATACACAGTCTCCCTTCCTGTGGCTAAAATCTGTTCCCCAAGCTGCCTGATGTCCTTAGCCATTTCCCAAACTGCCGCACTCTGCCTATGGGCCTTTTCCCACTACCTGCAAGCGTCACTGCCCGCATCTCCATCTACTCCCCACCTGCATCTCCGTGGCTTCTCCACCTGCAGCGCTGCTACCTGCTCTCCCACCTGCCACCGCAGTCCTTCGCATGATGGCTGCTCAGGCTGCCATCACGGGCACCTGGACCCCCACTCTCATTCCACCTCCACACATCTCGAGTCCTCCGCTTGCAGTACTAACCTGATTACTCACCCTCCACAGAGGGAGCCACCCCCTCCACAGCAAAACCCTCGCTCCTCAGGTGGCCCAATGCCAGCTGGCCCTGCCGCCTGGCTTCTAGGCTGGTCTGTGCCCTCCCCACATGTGGGGAATTTACCCTCCAAGGCAGGTGCCTCCAGGCCCCCCAAGCCTCCTCATCTTAGTTACTGGCTCCTTCATAATTAAGCCTGAATATCTGTAGAGTGTCCTGGGTGCTTTTCCTACCACCTGTCAGCACCCCCAGGCTTGTTAATGACGCTGCTTCCCTCTGCCCCTCACTGTCCCCACTTCCCTGATTAGATGGGAGAGCCACATGGAGTAGCAACTCCTGTCACCTCTGATGCCTGGATCTTGGCACAAATGCAGGTGTCCCTTGGCACCTTGGCAACGTCAGTTCCTACGTGCACCTCTTGAATACTATCTCAAGAAAACTCAGGATATCTCATGAGGGCCCAGTGCCATGGTGTAGTAGGTTAAGCTTCCATTTGCAGCGCTGGCATCCTATATGGATGCAGTCCTGGCTGCTCCACTTCCAATGCAGCTCCCTGCTAGTGTGCCTGAGAAAACAGCAGAGGATGGCTCAGGGCTTTGGGTCCTGAAGAGTCTCCTGGCTCCTGGGTTTAGACCGGCGCAACTACATTCATTGCAGCTACATGGGGAGTGAATTAGCAGATGGAAGATCTCTCTCAGTCTCGCTCTGTAACTGTGTCTTTCAAATACAAACAAATAAGTCTTTTTAAAAAGAGGACGTCTAACACAGTGCAAGTGCTACATAAACAGTTGTTATGCTGCATTGTTTAGGAAATAATGGTAAGAAAAAAAAAACCTGTAACCATTCAATACAGATGCAATTTTCTTTTTCAGATATCTCTGACCTATGGTGAGTGGGTAGCTTGCATGCATGGACGCAGGACCCCCAGAAGCGGACTGTATCCATGGAAATGAGTGAGGATGTTCCCACCCCACCCCTCAGCCTCGCTCCCCTGCGGGACCCCTGGCTGCCTCCTTTACCGGAGTCTGCTTGGTGGATCCAATCTGGGCTTCAGGCCATCTAGTTCTGTCTCTTCTCCTGGCAGGTCCACCCCAAGCCACCAAATACCCTATCCTCACCACCCAAGCCACATCTTGAGTCCTAGACTAGTTGGGTCTTGACATGACAAAGAGGCCAACCTGGGAGAAACAAAGGTTTGCTGGCACTGGCCAGGGGGCAGGTCCAGAAGGAAGCCTACTGTGATCTCCGCGGAGTGACCTCATGATGACACTAGGGTCCCTGACTAAGGTCTCCCCTCCCTCGCTTACCCAAGCCTCAGGGACCCTGGTGGCCACTCAGCCCCAGCTCAACCACCGCCTGCCACATCCTCCAGCATGGGCTGAGGGTCTGTTGGTCCCGGAGATCCTGCTCCCCTTCCCTTTGGCTCTTCCTGACCTCAGCCACAGCAAGAGGACAAATTAGGACCGGAGAGACGATCCATCCTGCAAGCGCTGAGAGCACGCCATTCCTGTTTAAGCAAGCTTGTTTTCAGACTGAGTAGTCAAGGCTCAGAGAAAGAAAGCCTCCTGGATCCCTCTCAGGAAGTAGCTGGAGGTTTGAGAATGCGGCGTGAACTGCCCATCTGTGCCCGCCTCATCCCTCCTTCTGCCCTGGCACCCACTGGGATGCTAAGCATGGCCTCCTCCAGACTTTGGCCCCCAGGGCTACATTAGGAGCAAGGCACACACTTCCCCACACCGCTGGGACAACTCGTGTCAGTGGGCTCTGTCCTTGCCCTCCCCTTGGACCTCAAGGACCCTGGTCTCCACCTTGCTCCTCACCTGGAGGTCTTCCTGGTACAAAGACCCGCCCACCCCAACCAACGCCATGAGTGTCACCTTCATGGGCTGCAGAACTGAGGGTAGCATGCGTGCCCAGGTGGCAGTCTGCCGTACTAAGGTTACACGTGCCACCGTCTAGAGCAGAGAGGTCCATGGAGCTAATGCGAAGATGAGAGTTGTGGGGACAATGCTCCCTCGGTGCAGGGTCTCTGGGACCCGGCCTTGACTGCCTGGGCTGGGGTGGGAGGCGCAGTGTCGCTAACCACGGTGAAATGCTGCCACCTGCTGGCCGTGTCCCAGAATTGTAGGATTCCCCACGACGGTGGGGGGTCGAGCAGGTGGTCTCCCCACCAGCTCTCCCCAGTCAGCTTCATCCCAGGTTAGGAGGCTTTTTGTTGTCGCCCTAGTCATTTTGATTTTCATTCCGTCATAACAGTAACTCCGCTGTAATCCTTCAATTTGCTGATTCTGGCGCTTGCCGCTCACAGCAGTCCTGCGTCCACCGAAGCACAGGTTTGCAGGGCAGCGGCACCTGGACGTGGCAGAGCCAGGCTCACACACTTGCCCTGGGACTGCAGAGTCCTAGAAACCCCTGCCCACCTGCTGTCTGCCTCCTTCCTATGAGGTCGTGTTGCAGGAGTGTCACCGAGACCCCTGAAGAGCCAGGCCCAGAGGGGAGCCCACAGGCTGCCCCCAGTGAGGGCCTGAGCCCCTCACGATCAGATTTGAAGGCGAGGAGACTGCTGGGCTACGGTAGGGGAGCTCCCCAGGAATTTGGGGCCCAAGCCAATACCTGCCGGCCCACCAGTCCCAAGCTGGGACCAAGCTCTGTCTCCTACCCACCGGCCCCTCTCCCCAGTGCTGCTGCCACACTCAGGACCCCATTTCTCCTCTGGTTCTGGCCAGGACCCATCCTCAAAGGCAGGGCAAAGCAGGCACTGTGGCGGCCAGGAGGGGGCGCACCACATAGTACATGGCTGGAGCTATGTGGACAGCAGAGCCAACCCAAGGGACTAGCTGTCCTCCCAGTTGCCACGAGAGGGCAATAGTGACCAGAGCCGGCCAGTCCCATGGGTACCGACACCATTCGCTGGCTGAGCTGAAGGTGTCTGTGGGTATGCACCCGACCCCTTCTGTCCCACCTCCTTTCCTTTCTGCTTCTCCCTTTTTCAGACCCCAAGGAACCCTCTCCCCAGAACAGGATACCGTCCTCTTAGAACCTCTATACCAAATCATGTTTCCAACTGGCTTGCTTGCCTCCTCCAGGAAGCCTTCCATGGGTGTCCCTCAGGCCCTGGAAGCTCTCCTCTACTTCCTCCAGCCTCTAAGCCTCACAAGGTATTGTCCTCAGAAGCCAACTCAGAGGTGGGTTTCCTGCCACAGAGTGGGCCCTCGAGCCTGACAGCTCCCGGAAGCTTCTGCCCCAGCTGCACTCGGGCACCACAGGGCGCTGGGTTGGGGCTCCTGGCACCCTGTAGCCAGAGTCTGAGCCCTCACAGCCCTGAAGGAGGTCAGTGTGTCCCTGGACCTTGCTCTTGTGTGTCCTAAATTTCCAGCTGCAGGGGCAGCACTGGGGTACAGCAGCTTCCACCGCCACCTACAACACCGGCATTCCACGTTGGAGCACCAGTTTGAATCCCATCTGTTCTGCTTCCCATCCAGCTCCCTGTTCCTGGGAAAGCAATGGAGGCTGGCCCAAGGCTGTGGGCTCCTGCACCCACAGGGGAGACCCAGCTGGAATTTCTGGCTCCTGCCCTGTCTGGCCCTGCCCTGGATGTTTGACCCATTGGGGAACGAACCAAGATGGAATCAATCTCTCTTCTTCTTCTCTCCCTCTTGCAATGCTACCTCTCAAATAAATAAGTAATCTTTTCTTTAAAAGAAGAAGTCTCAGGCTCCAGTGCCCAAGCCAGGGATGCCACAGGGCAAACAGGAAGACAACTCCACCCAGGGGGAGAGGGCAAATCCAAGCACAGCAGCCAGTGCCCCTGTGGCCTGTAGGATCCCCCCCCCCCATTGAACAGAGTAGTAAGTGAGCAAAATTTATTTAGTGGGAGAAGCTCAGGCAGGAATCTCCTGCCCACCCAGCACACCGGCCCTCCACAGCCTCCGTCATCGCCCCTGGGTTGTTGGAGGGGCAACGAGCCCCCCACCAAGTTGTTGCCATGTTCAAGGCCTGCTCTCCAGGCCTTGGTCCCAGGACACAGAGGGTCGTCGGCAGGAGGAAACAGCTCCTTGACAGGGGCACAGAGTGGAAGGAACCATTACCAGCAGCTCCAGCTATTAACAGCTCAGCCCATACAAGCTCCATGGCCAGGAAGAAGGGTGGCTCATGAACTCGATGGAATTCTGAACTCGATGGAATTCTAATGGGGACAGGGCGAGGGGGTCAGGCAGCTGGGTAGCAGCTGTCCAGGGCTGTGCCACACCTTGTGGAGGTACTTGTTTATGCTGTGGTCATATTATCCGGCAACCAGGAGAGCCCTAACTCTGGGAAACACGGATTCATGGGGACAGATTCCCCACTGGGGTAGCCTAGTCCTACAAGGTCGTGCCTGGCTCGGCCTTGGCAGGCAAGACCCACGAGAACACATCCAGCCAGTATTTTCCTGATGGCACCAGGACACCAGGAAGAAGCATGTGGGTCCATGGGGGCTGGGAGCTGGGCAGCTACTGACCACACTGGGGAAGAGCCCTGGAGACAGGTAACCCACAGGCCTAGGGCAGCACAGGAAGACCGAGACCATGTGTGCCCAGCAGCCCCCGGTCCCTCCCTCTGAGATGGGATGGCTGTGGGCACAGGAACAAGGGCAGTCATCGATGCCAGCAAGCAGGAAAGGGGCCTGGATGGGCACGGCCAGTGTGGAAGGGGAGCCCAGGACGCCCGGAGAGGGTGGGGTTTGGGGAGGAGTGGGCTGGCTCCCTCCCTCCCAGATGAGCACAGCAGCACAGCAGTGGAGAAGCAGGAGCATGGCGGTGGGGCCAGCAGGAAGGGCAGCAGCGGCAGGCAGTGCTTCACGCCTTCTGCCCAGAACTCAGGGCGCCTCATTGGAGCCCATCCCGTTGCCTTTGTTGACGTAGAAGGGCCGGTGGTAGTGAGACTGTAAGATGGGATGAGGGAAGGAGAGTGGTTAGGGAGACCGAGAAAGGCCATGCCTCCTGTCCTAACCTCCCTCAAGGAGACAGCGATGGTGCAAACCCCAGCACTTCCATGTGTACCCCCTCCAAGACCCACCTACCCTGTGACTGAGATCACGGAAGGGGCATGATGCTATCAGAACCTCCACATTCAAATCCAAATGCCAGTTCCTTCTTGCCGATGGGCAGCATCCGACCACCCGCACGCTGCCTCCGAGACACCGGAAAGCCAGCCTGTGCGTGCCATGGCTGCAGTCACCCAGCACTCTCTGCAGCAGCTCATGGAGCCATGTGCACAGCTCGCTGCTTGCATGAATGGGCTCATTTAATTTTTACGACCAGTCAATTAAGTGGGCAACTATGATCATATCGATTTTATAGCTGAGCAAACCGAGGCACAAAGAGGTGAGGCAACTTGCCCAAACTCAGAGAGGGATCCACACCCCAGCAGTCTGGCTCTGCAGCATACGCACATGCACGCACACACACACGCACACACACACACACACACACACACACACACACACACACACACACGAGCACACATACACCCCAGCCTGGATGGTGCTTTGTGCACAAGGGCTCCAACGTGGCCATCTGCATGATTCCTCCTGGCAATGGCTACAGAGGCGGCAGGGTATCCCTGCCTGACACAGACCTGCCTCCTGGTCAGTATTCAGGGAGCATCCCCAGGGACACGGCCCAGTGGCCCACTCACAGTCACGCTGTCTGGCTGTCCGTGCCTAAGGGCCCATTTTAGGGGTTCCTTGCCAATATGAGCACCTCTTCCCCCTAGAGGGGCTCAGGAGACAATCTGTCCGGGATGGGGAACACTGATTTCAACACAGGAAACCCCACCCCACGACCTCAGTCCCAGCACAGCCCCTGCTCCCAGCCCTATCTGCCTGGGAACAGGAGACTCCCGGTCAGTAACACACTGTGCAGGACTCAAGGGCAGCTCAGTGTCCTCAGCTCCGTTCTTCATCAGCCCCTCACTAAACACAAGAAAGAGCTGAGGCCAGCCACAAGGCAGGGTGCAGGGACGTAGAAGTGACTGGGGCCTCAGGTGGACAGCATGGACTACGGGCAGGTAGATGGCTCTGCATATGGAGCACCGGGAGCAGGGAATGAGCAGGACCGAGGTCCACGGTGCCTCCCCCAGCCCCGTCCCCAGCTCAGAGTCCCAACCCAGGAAAGTTAAAGGACTATGAAATCAGCCAGGCCATCTGCTTCATGTCACGGGTGGGTAAACTGAGGCACAGGGAAAGCATAACCAGTTGGTGAAATGGCTGGGCCCATAGCCAGGGCCAGGTGCTGGACACCACAGCCCCACTCTATGAGGGTGGTATGTGATGGCAATGAGCCCTCCACAAGGACCCAGGCCCAGGGGGGCTGGGGAAGGGAGGGGCAGGACTATATCAGGCAACAAAAGCCTCCTTTCTCTCCCCATATCTGCCTTTTGCAGTCTTCTGTTGCAATGCCCATGGGCCCCGCTCCAAATTACACACCCACTCACTCAGCCACTGTGGCCAGACAACTAAAGATCCTCTCTAATGACATCAGCCCCTGCCACTATTTGTGGTCAAGAGCCAATCAGCTCCCCAGGCTCTGAGCTCCACATGCAAAAGCAGCTGAACCAGGGCTCCAGCGCAAACCCCAGGGCCCTCATGCCACACTGCCCATGCCAGCCTCTCTCATAGGGCCTGGCGTAGGCTTTCAGGAGAGACACATTCAGGGAGACAGAGGTGACAGTGTGAATGACAGGCCCTGCCAACTGAGGCCTTGGGCAAGGCATTGGATCACCTTGTCTCAGCATCTACATTCAAAGAACAGAGTCCCAAAATGGGACTCACCCGGAGCCAATAGCCAGTAGGTATCCTGGACCCCATGTCTAGGCTGCTTCATCACGCTGCTCCTCTGGTGCCTTTAAGGCAAAACAGAAGGAGGCCTGAAGATCCCATCCTGATTTCCCATCCTGATTTCCCAGCCCCCAGCACGGCCCCACCTGTACCCTGAGCATCTTACAGTCCCCAAGCTCCTTGAGGTCCTGCACCAAGCCCAAGCCTAATAAGAAGCCAGGGCTGCCCATCCTACAGATTAACAAACACTGTAAGCTTAGCCAGGTTCCCTGCCATCAGCCCTGGGACCCTGCTATACTTTGCTGTGGGCTGGTATTCAGGCTGTTGCCTCCTCATCCATTCACTCCATGGCCCAGAGGATCACCCTGCTCCCACAGGCGCTGGGAACAGGAAGCCCAGCTGTCCTAAGCGATGGCCCCTCTGGTGCCCTGGCAGGCTCCCCTGGCAGCGTCTTACTCACCAGCAGAGTCTGCTTGCCAGATTTCCAAGTCTGCGGCTGGGCCTTAGGGACCTGGCTGCGGATGACTGAGGGATAGCCTGGAAGACAAGAAGCTGCAGTCAGAGGGAATGCTGAGTGAGAGTTGGGGGAACCCCTCCCCAGCATCCCCCAGCCAAGGGCTGCAGCTGGACAGCTGCTGTCTCCAAAGGAACCCTTAAGCATCACCTAGCCCATGACCAAATGCAGCCACCTGAAAAGATGGGCAGCAGACCATATGCACTTGAAATCATCCCCCCATCCACCCACACACACACCAGCTGATGAAGGGAGGAGGCAGCAAAGCAGACATCAGGAGGATCCGCTGGCCAGATGCACAGCGCCAGACAGCAGGGGACCATCACCCCCAAAGCCAGCATCCTGCCACCCACCCAGAGACTCACACCATGGCCCCATCTCTCCCTGGAGGCCCCACAGAGCCACTTCCTAAGCAATAGCTGCCAGGATGGCAGCCAGAGAAGCTCCTTCTGACTGCCCCACACTGGGTGCAGGGTGCTTCCCACTGGCCGAGCCTCCTTGTGCCGTCAACCCTGTGCTGGGAACTTGGGGACTTCACATGTGACTGCTTGGGTAACTGCCCCTTCCCTGCCTGCCACTGTTTCTGTGGGCTCAGAAGTTGGCCCGTGTTGCCAAGCTTGCCATCAGAATTGAAGGATACTAGAGACATCTGCTCCTTCCACCTAGCTCTGCTACCTCTCCCTACCCCACCCCATTTCACCAGAGGGAGACTGAGGTCCAGAGAAGGGCAGGGATGTGCCAGTAGGGCTGCAGCCCCAGTTAGGATGGCAAGTCCAAGGGCAGGTGGTGATCTCTGGGAGTGATCCAGGCTATGACTGCCCAGCCCCTTGCCTTCAAGAGCACAGAGATCTGGCATCCACTATCAGCCTGCAGGGACAGATCCAGCTGCCTAGAAAGACATGGCAGTGAGCTGGGTGCTGAGCAACTCAGAAATTCAGCACAGCCTGCCCTGGGAAAGCCTCATCCTACTCTGACGCAAACCAGAATAAGCAGGTCAGGCCTGGAGCCCATCCACAACCCTGCAAAGCTGGTCAGCCAAGCCAGTCCTTCTCCCACTGTGAGGGCACCCCTTGAAGAGAGGATTGCACAGGTCCCAAGTGGAGACTGGGAGAAGAGAACACGGGCCTCGGCTCTCAGGTCCAGAAATAAAATCCTGGCTATGCCAGGCACAGGGCGGGTGAGGACGGCTTCTGTGAGGAGGGTCGCCCAGTTGTGTGCAGCAGGCAGAAGTCCAGACAGAGTGAGCTGGGAATGGCAAGTCGGGGCATGCATGAGGGGCACCAAGACACCTCAAAGTGGCCCTCAGCCCGGGATGTGCCACCTGCCCCACTGTGGGAGAGCCAACAGAATGGATGGGGGAAATGGGCAGGTACCGGGATCGTTTTTAAACAAACCACTGCGCTCCAGTGATTTGGAAAGCTGTGCAGTGGCCTTGCCCAGGGTGGTGAACTGATAGGGGTTTTTCCCAGTGCCTGCTGGGAGAGAGAGAGGCATTAGCTGCACGGCTGGTACAGGAGGGGCCAAGGGGACCCATCCCTCACTCTCGGGTGCTGTTGCTCACCGCTCTGCAGCCCAGGAGCTGGCCTGGATCAAGCAGCCCTTGACACACCATCTATCCTGGCTGCTGGAGGGACACAGGCAGGGTTCGTTCTCTCTATGCACACAAGTCAGTCCCTCTCTAGATTCTTCTGCCCCACCCCCAACCCCGGCCATCCCGCATTCAAGGGCTTTCCCAGTCAGCCTGAGAAACTCAAGGTGAGAAAAGGTGTCTCCTCCCAGCTTTTTCTCCAAGGCCAAGTGCATCCGACAAGAGACTCTTTAGGGACATCTATGTGGGTTTCTAGGGACCCGAACACTCCAGGTCACACCCAAAGGTGGCCACCAAGTTCCCTGCCAGGTGGCTTTGGCCCAGGCTTTCTAGGGCAGTGGGGGCAGGTTAGGGAGAGGCATCTGTTGAAAGCCACACCAGCCATGATACAACCAGAGCTTCCTAGACCCAGCTGGGAACTGCCCCAGGTCCCACAGACTGGGACTGTTCTATTTGTGTCCCCTTCTCTTTCATCTTTCTGGTGGCCCCAAGTTCCTGCCCAGAGGGAGCCCTGCCTAGAAGGGGCAGCTTAGTGATGAAACTGCCTATGGAGGGAGGGCGCTGTTGGGGAGGGGAGGGACAGCTGTCTGTTTCTTTCCCGTTCTTCCCCCAGACCCCACCAGGACTGCGAAGCCTCTCCTCCAGCCAGGCAGCTTGGGTGCCAAAGGGAAGCCGAGGTTCCTCCCACCAAAACCCACTGCCACGTGAGCAGTACAAAGGGAGGGACCCCACAGTGGAAGGAGCTGGGAGGCGGGGGATGGGGAGCCAAGGGCCTGGTGGTCCCCTCCAGTCACCATGCACGATGACCCCTGAGAGATGCAGATGTGGTTCAGCCAACCCCTCTTTGGCCAAGACCAAGATGGCAGCCACCCCCCTGGCTCTCAGGCAAGGGCTAGCTGCTCTGCAAGGACCATAGGGCACAGAGCAAGGTGAGTGGGTGTGACCGCGGTGGCAGCAGGGGCAGGAGGGGCATCTGGAGGAAGGAAGGCTCACCTTTCAGGGAGAAGGAGGAGCTGCCTTGGACAGCGGGCAGGTCATCAGAGCTCTGCACAGTGGATGAGTATTCCCAGACCCGGGAGGTATAGTTACCTGGTGGGAAAAGCAAGGAGGGGGCCATTGGACCATGGCAACCAGGCATGGAGGAGGGAGGGCAAGAGCCAGGTATGGCCAGTCCTGGATGAGCCACCCCCCACCCCAAGCCAGTATATCTCCCTGCTCCTTCCTGCTATTAAAGTTCTTTCTCTCTAAACTCAAAGTGCAGCCATGTCTTTGGCCAACCCAAAGGCCATGATCCTGCAGAATAAGGGCATCCCTAAGGCACCCCACATGTCCTTCCTAAGCCACTGCCTGCCCCCTCTGTCCCCTCCACTTCCTGACCTCACATGCCCAGCAGTACTCCCAACAGGCTTGCCAGCCGGGGCCTCACACACAGCAGCTTCTCTTGCCTCAGGCCTGTGCCCTGACTGGGGCTTCTGCCTGGGACAGTGCACCTGCTTCTCACCCTCAGCAAGTCCTCACAACGGGTCTTCCCGCACATCACCCTGAATCCCCTGCCCTGGGTTTCAGGTGCTTGTTCAGTTGCCTGTCCCCTGCCAGCATCTCATCCAGTGGCTGGCTTATAACCTGGCTGTTAGACACTGCCCTTGTGTGGGTGATAGAGGAATGCCACTGTCCCACAACCTGGGGACAGGGCAAGCTCACAAAGCTCCTGAAACCCTGCCTGCCAGGTGCACAGGTAAATGAACATCTGGGTGCACATATGTCCCTGGAATTGAAAGGACAAGGAAGCAGTGAGGAAGGGTAGAAGGAACAGAAGGGGCCTTGGGGCTGGGGTTTATCAGAAATGCTATGAGGGACAAGCCCTTACCCAAAACGCCCAGCAGCCCAGGGTGAAGCCTACTCCACAGTGAGCAGCACTTACCAGTGGTCATGGCTGCCTACAGGGAGGGACGAGGTGGCGGTTGGGTTTCTACAGGTCCTTCAAGAGCAGGGCCTTGCACAAATAGATTCACTCAGTAATTCCAGAGGCTGGAGTTCTGGCCCTTTTGGTCCCTCTCAGGGACCTCCTGGGATGCATCCGCTCATGGAGAGAGAGGCCCTGGATGCTGTCTGCCCCTGACTGCTCTTATCTCCCTGGACTCAGAGGAACTTTGGGCACCTCCCTCCTTGCACACCTATGACTGCCCAGACAGAACCAGGGTTCATATACTCCTCAGTATACTGGGCAAAGTGAGCCTCTGCCCTTGGCAGCTGCCCTTGAGGAAGCCATGTCCCTATCCCCATCTCACCTCTTCAGGGCCACAGGTGTCATGCCTAGTTTCCGTAACGGCGATACCACCTGAAACCCCTACCGTGCCTTCCCTCCCACGTACTCTAAGCTGCCGCATCTCAGCTACTGAAGGCAGTCGTTCACAACCTGGCAGAGACCCTCTGTAGGTGCTCTCACCCTGACCCTAGCTGGTCAGGTCACCATGCCTACCTCATCCCAGAGTGGACATTTACCACAAGGATCCCCCTACATCCTTCAAGGATGAGAAACCATGGGGAAAACATCTGGGGATTCCTGAAATAACTAAAAATGGGTCTGATTTTCTTAAAGTGTGCATACGTGTCCTCAGGTTTTGGGGTATTTGTGTTCACCTGTGGCCCAGCTGTCCCACCCCTGAGCATACACCCAAAGGAAGTGAGATCAGGACAGGCAAGACACGCCTGCACTCCTGTGCCTATCATAGACATAGAAACAACTTAGATGTCCATCAACTGATGAGCAAATAATACACGCACGTGCACACACACACACACACACGCACATATATATTTGCATGATGAAATATGACTCAACCATAAAAAGCAATGAAACCTGACATTTGCAACAAAGTTGATGGAACTAGAGGTCATAATGCTAAGTGGAAGAAGCCATAGCGTAAACACTGTGTGGCTGCTGTGTTATTTAGCATGTTGTTGTAAACAATGTCCCATTGAATTATACCACACAAGCAACAATGTCCCCTTCTCTTCCACATTAAGATCATTGTCATGAATCTGTCATTTTGTAACAATCATACCCTTCTTTTTAAGAAAAAACATCATGTGTATGCATTTAATGTCTACTTATGAAGTGAATATGGCAGATACTAAAAATCGTTTAGACTGGAAAAAAAAGTTGTAGCAGGGAAAAAAAAGAAGCAGCATGTAGGACTCAGGTTTCCAATGATGCCTACTGAATGACATCACAGCCTGCACACCCATGCACACGCACTCACACACCCATGCACACTTTAACCTCAGCAGAGCCCCTTCCCACTCCAGCTCCTCACCTTCATTTCCTACTGGGCAGCCCAGCACCCTGACTCCAGTCCCACCACCACCTCTCACCTCCTGGACTACCACCTGGTCCCCTGCCTAGCCTTGCACTGAGAACTGTGTACTCACTACCTTTGGTGCCGTAGAGATTGCTGAAATTCTTCTGGTTGGTCTCCTTGGAGAGGCGGCTGGGCGATGATGGCTGGAAAGAAGTGCGAGCCCCACCTGCGGGCAGAGAAGGCTCAACTGTCATTGTGGAAATGTGGGTCTGGCTCAGTTCAGAAGCCCAGCCTCCCCTCTTGAGGGGCTTGTGCAGAAAGCCTGGCCCCCCAAAGAGTACTCAGCTACAGTCATGGGACAAGGGCTCAGCAGAAGGGAGCCACTTTTCTTCCAATCAGACACTATGGACAACCACACCGAGGGCATGAAGGAACCCCTGCGTAGCCTCCTACCAAGGGGCGCTGGGCAAGCCAGCACACCCCCACCTGAGCCAGCCCCTGTATGAGGAGGAGCCCAGAGCTGGGTGATGAGGAGCTGCGGAACCGGAAAGAGGTTGTGGCAATGTGGGAACAGAACCAGCAGTGAACATCCCCCTGGCTGCCTGGTGCCAGAACGGGGCAGAAACTGAGCCCCAGGGACAGGTACTGGTCCCCCACAGGGGGCTCCTTCCTCTCCCCCATCCCACAGCAGCCTGGCTGGCCTTGCTCTCCTGCTGTCCTTGGCCCTCCTTTTGCCTCTGTCCCAAGCTCCTTTCAGTCTCCACCACCCTCCCCCAACCCTGGAGCAGAGCCCTACCTAACCAGCCTGCTCCTTCCGCCCAAATGTCGCAGATTAGCTCAAGACACAAGAGTGGGGGGGGGGGTAGCGGGGAGCTGCCAGCCCTAAAGGCCACTGTACCCACTCTGCAATAGGAAAACTGGGTCTAGAGCTAGCAATGCCCAGCCTCTCTCAGGAGTCCCAGGCTCTAGACTCCTGGGTCATCACCTGAGCAGGTAGTGCGTGTCCCTCCTCCTCCTCCTGGCCATCTACAGGCAGGACAAAGAAGCTGGCCAGGGCTACATTAAAACTGATCTGAAGACAGAGAGAAAGAGAAGGCTGGGTGCAGCTGCCCAGCATCTCACAGAACCAGTCCACAGGGGCATTAGCCCCAGGCAGGGCGAGGGGCGGGGCCAGAAGCTGGGCCCACACCCGGAATGTCGGAGGGTGGGGAAAAGCCAGGTGTTGTTTTCAGGCTGGGTGGGGCAGGAGAGATTCTTCTCTGAATTCATGTCTGCAAATCCCCCCACACGCTGCCTTGCATGAGTGGCTGATATGTGAATTACTGATTGGAGCCCTGACCTGTCCCCTGCCTACCTTGGGTGCCTTCCCACATCTCCTTCATCTTGTCCCCACCCTGGTCTCACACACACACAGTCTCTCTCTTTCTCTCTCTCTCTCTCTCTCTCTCTCTCTCTCTCTCTTCATCACAGCACATCCACTCTTCTATAATCGGCATGCTCGTGGCTGGTGACTGGCGGTTAATGTTTGCAGAGGGGCCAGGCTGCCCCCAGAGCAAGGTCCTGGGATGGACCAGTATACAGAGGAAGTTACTGGGGGCCAGGCTACATGCTGAGGGCACTGGAACAGGATCCCCCTCTTCACACCCTGGAGGTACAATGGGCATAAGGTTAAATAGGCACAATCATGCCTCAGGCCTGGCAGAGCCTAGCCCAGGAGACTCCTCTGGAAATAAAGAGGAGCCAAGGTGTGGGTTGGAAGATGGCTTCTGAGGGGCTGCCTATGTCAGGGGCAGGGACACGTGTCATCAAACCAGGGTGCTTGCCACTTGTGTTGTCCAGAACCACACAGGGACTTGCCCAGGCCACCTGAAAGTGCAGTCAGCCCACCCAGAAGAACCAGGAGTCTCCTCCTTACCCTTGGGTGTGAGGTACATGGAGTACCTCTTCATGGTGTCTGGAGTACTCCACTCACTCGTGTAGCTGTTTGTGTAATTGTTCATGTAGCGGTGATCCCCACCTGGGAAGGAGAGAGGCTGGCTCAGTTGAGGGGCAAGTGGAGAAGAGGAGAGCTGGCTGCAGGAGACATTCCCTGGGTTTGGGAGAATCAACCTACAGCCCATCCTGTGTCCCTGGGAGAGGAGCCAGGGTCTGCAATGAGTCACACGGACACACCGGCACACCACCAAGGGGCTGGTCTCTCACGAGCTACAACACGTGTATACAGCAGTTGACAGTTACAATCTGGTGGCCAAATCCATGTCTCATTTCATCCATGCAACCACCTGGGGCAGGTATGAATGCCTTCATGTGAAAGGTCAAGAAACAGGCTCACCCCATGTCACACACTGACAACCCTGACCCCTGCTTCCTGGCTACGTCCCAGCCTCTAGCGGGAAGATGAGTCCTCACGTTACTTTCTGGATCCAGTAGCTGAGTGGAGGCAGGTGCTGCCAGTGCCCTCACAACTCACTTCAGTAACGGATACCCCATCCACTCTTCACCCACTATTTCCCCATCTTCTGCTTACTCTCCTGCCATCTCCCCTCTTCTGAGCGAGAGGAGGAAGAAGCAGCTCAGATCATCATGCTTCAGCCCCACCTCCTGAGCCTAGTGGGGTCCAGGCTTTCAGTGGACATTCCCCAAAGGAAACAGACCCTCCTGGGTGCCAGGCCAGCCCTCTGCCTAGGTGAGCCCGATGAGGGTGGCCTGGTGCTTCCTTGCTTCTGGGCCTATGAGTGTGGGAAGGAGCCTGTGGGTCAGGTGGGCAGATGGGCATCAGGGGAGTAGACGCCTATGCCCAGATGTGACTCACCAGCTACCCATCTCCTTGCCTCCTACAGCTGACATCCTCCCAAAAACAGAGTGGCAGTGACACACACACAAAGCACAGACGCCAAAGAGCCTCCCCAGCAGCCGCAGGCACAGGTGCAGGGCCACTGAGTCAGCAACGCCCATCCCTGCTCCTGGCAACAGTCTTGCTGTACATCTTACCCAGAAGGCAGGGCCACACCTGCACACAGGTCACAGCCAGGACCGTGGGGACATTGAATTGGAACAAACAGCAGCTGGGGAGCTGGAGAATTCCTGGCAGGCTTACAGGCCACCTGCCCCCAGTCAGAGTCCTCCTGCTAGGTCTGCATCCTCCCAGGTCTGGCTTGACCAGAGCAACAGGGCTATGCAGCCAGATCTGTGTCCCAGGACCCATGATCCTCACACCCATCAGTGCTCCAGTGCAGGGGGAGGAGGCAATAGTGCCACCAGCCACAGAACAGCAGCTCCCTTGCTGAGAAGGCACAGCTGACTGAAGAGCAGAGAGCCGGGCACTCCCTCCTGTCTAGCTGTGTGTACTGTCCAAAAAACTGCAAAGCAGCTTCCTCCAGACTCAAGCTTCTCATCTGTAAAGTGCCATGCACCCCACAGGGTTGATGCAGCTGTGTGAGCCAAGAGCTAAGCTCAGCGTCCGGCATGCAGGGATGGTCCATCACCGTCAGCCATCACTGTCAGCACCACAACCATTGCGATTGTCATTAGGAAGCAGATGCCAGATCCAAGTGCCATTGAAAGCCCAATGATTGTCTTGCTGGAATGGCTTATCTGTCCTCAGCTGTGATGGAATGTCCCTTCATTTCACAGAGACACTGTGTGACAGTGCCATCACTAAAATACAAAGGCACCTCAGGAAACAGGAACCTCTGGAAGACCCTTTTCTTCTGCACACTCCCACCCACCCCTCGTCCCCAAGGACTCCTGAGTCCCACATGGACACCCAACCTGTGTTCTTTCCTTAGAGGTGTCCATGGCTATCCATTCAGGCCCTATGCTGAGCCAGAGCCATGGGGTGTGGCCTGGGGGTTAAGTGCCCAGGCTGCAGGCCCTGCAGGGGCAGGGAGGGGAAGAACCTCATAGGCTGTTTCTCAGAACATGAGTCAGCTGACCTCTTCAGAAACAGCATGACTCAGCAGAGAGGGGAGCTGCTGAGTCAGACATGCTGTGTCCCAGACACACTGTATCTCACTGTCCCCAGCCCAGGCCACCAGGCCAAGTCTACCCCTACAGTGCTCAGCACAGTACAGGGACAGGCACATTCTTCCTGCAAGCCTACTCTAGGTCATAACAACTGTAGTATGCAAAGTCCCTGGCTGGGACTCTGGTCCAGGCAAGTGGCAACTTCCATGCAGTTGCTGGGTTGGGCCCCGTAATTACAAAGGGTTTTGAACAGGACCCACCCCGGGCCCAGGAAGAGGGCATTCCTGGAGTCAGCCCCCCGAATGTGAGGCCCCCCCAAAGCAGCAGCATACCCATGGCAAAAATGCAACAGATAACTAGAACCCCGATTCTGGCATGCGAACCTACACAGGCACAAGAATGTACTCTGAGAGAGAAAGATCCGTAGCACAAGAATGAACCCACCATTCTCCATATGGTTCCTCTCAATGAAGTTACGGCTCAGGTCGGCTTTGCACATCTTCTCCACATGACGCATGCACACATTGAGTAGGTCATCCTTGCAATTGCTGAGTGACTGGCCCAGGCCCTCCCCCTCCAGCAGGACATGGTAGGTGGGTAGCGGTGGGGGCAGGGTATAATTGCTCATCAAGTCACCAAATTCCTACCAAGAAAGGAAAGAAGTCATTGACATCCCAGATCTCTCTGTGAGCTCTGGGGATGTTTCTGTAAGACAGGCTCAATGCTGGGACCCACAGGAGCTGGCCTCAGATGTCTACCAGCCCTGTGTGCCCTCCTTATTCTGTGCAATGGGAACATTCAGAATTCACTAGTACATGCTGGGTGCCCATCATCCCCAAAGGCACTCACCTTCTACAGTGTGACTCCATGATTCCCATGGAGTGTAGTGTGCCCACCTTCCAGGGCCTTGTGAGAGTGACATAGGTGAGGGATGGTAAGGAAATGCTGACCACTTCCACAGTATTCTGGCTCCGCCACAAGTGCAGCCCCTCCACTTCTTACTTCCTTTTCCCCTCACTAGAGAATCCCCCCTCCTTCTCACACCCTAAACATCAGATTCAAACTTTACCTCCTGCACAAAGCCACCCTGAGATTACTCCAGCCTGCTGGCCTCTCTCTGAGATGCTCAGGGACTTATCTTCTGAGCCATATGCATTATCATTTAATTACACCCTGTCCTATATTGTTCTCTAATTGTACAGGTCTTATCAGCTCAGCTGGATTGCAGCAGCTTGGGGGCAGAAACCATGTCTTCAACACTCCATTCCCACTGCGCCTAATGGAATACTGGGCACCCAATAGTAGTCAAGACACTTTAGCAGGTAGAAGGATGGGTGGATGAATAGACAAACATCAAGATCAGCTATAACAAGCCACACTCCAATGTTGCTCTCCCCCTACTCAAAGCAGGCATTGCTAATTGATCCCAGAACCTTTTTGTGTTTAATCTGGAACTCTGTTAGTGCATATCAGTTGTGGCTGGGACGAGGTGACATTTGTGTACCATCTTTAGAGTCACTAGCAGGTGATGGAAACAAACAGTGAAGCAAAGAGTTGGAATGGAGTCCTGATGGGTGAGGGCCTAAGCAAGGGATGTAATGGGAGGATAGAGATGAGTGGAGGAAGCGCTCATCACCTGCAAAAAGAGCACCGAGTCGCTGATGTTGTGCAGCTGCTCCCGGGTCTGCTTGTCTTCGTGTAGCACCTTAGCCCTCTCATCCAGCGCATCCACAATCACTTTCACCTGGTCCACGGCGTCCTGCTCCCGCTGCTCCAGGGCAGCCCTCACTTCCTCCTTCTGCTTCTCCAGCTCCCGCACCAGATCCCGGAAGCTCTGTTCCAGGATGGCCTTCTCATTGGTGGTGAAGCTCTGGGTCCAGAGACAGGGGAAGCAGAAAAGGGGTTCAGTTGGGAGGAAGAGCTCCCCAGAAGTGAGCATCACTGGATGCCCAGTGTGGGTTTGAATCGCTCCCCTGCCCCAGCCCACCAAAACCTTTCGTTTAACCAAGATCCTTAGTCAAGAGCCTCACAGAGCAATGCCCCCCACCCTGCCATGGCTGGAGATGGCCGGGTCATCATACAGCCCACCTTTTCTTATCCCTGGGGGCACCTTCCATATGGTGGATTGACACAAGTCATTATTTCACATTTAAGTGATATCCTGTGGGCACAGACATTGTCCCATGAGTCAGGGTGTCCCCACCAAAATGCCAGCAGAACCAAACACCATTCAGAAGGCGAACTGACTGGCTATCCACGGGGCCAGGGTGGAGCCGATGATTTTAGATTGTGATTTGCAATTACTTGAAGCATGGCAGACATTCATCTAGCCATCCTGGCATGCATAGAGGAGACAGAATGTGTGCTTGGTAGCTGGGAAGTCAGGTGGGTAGAGCAGACACTGCAGGACATCAGATGATACCATGAAGGTAATGATGATTTAAAATGAATTATTAGGGGACAGGAATGATCCCACTCGGACCAGACTGACATTGAGAAGGGGAATGAAGATGGGAATGGCCAAATGGGTGGGAAAAGCCAGGAGAGACCAGTGTTGAGTGTCAGGGTAGACCGAGGCCCACCCTGGGAAAGGTGGAAAGGTGAGTTAATGGTGCTGTGAGAGTCGCCTGGGATGGCACACCTTGATGCGGTCCTTCTCCTTCTGCCACTTCTCAGCTTCATCCTCAATTTCAATGATCTTCATCTGCAGCTGCTCCTTCTGCAGCGAGAGCTCTGTCTGCAGGGAGAGAGCCAGGGTACAGAAGTCAGGAGAAGAGGAGGAGAAACCACGAAACAGGGGTCCACGCCCTAGCAGGGCTCATCACCTCGGACACTCATCACCTCATTCAGACATTCGGAAATGGCAGACACCCACTACCAGTTGCTAAGGACACAGCTGCTGGTCAGACACCATCTCACTGCCCTCTCAGGCCACTATGACTGGACATTCTAGCCTTGACCTTCTAAGGCTGAATCTTCCTGGCTCCTCCCTGCATCATGAGCTCAGGGACAAACAGAGATCCTGGACCAAATGGACCCTGGGGGCTTTGGAGAGACATAGACAGGGGATCCAGCCCAACCCAGCCCAGCCTAGCCCAGCCCAGGGAGTGTCTCATGGCAACAGCACACAGCGTTTCTGCTGCATGACGTGGGGCCCGTGTGGCAAGCAGGAGCTGGGTTGCCGCCGGCGTGGACTCCGTCTGGGCAGGCAGTCATAAACCTGTTTATTGAAAAGGGAATGCATTCTGCAGGCTGGGCCAACAGGAACTTGGACCCAGAGTCTCTTGGAGCCCAGCGGGAGAATGCAGGCTGAGAAGAAGGTGGCTCAGGACCATCCAGGACGGTAGTCATCCTTGCCCAGGCCCTTCTCTATAAAGCAGCTACATTAGAGACAAAAGAAGACCACGGATGTTCAAACTAAACCACTCAGTCAGGCTAAGAGACACCTCTTTTACTGTGCTGGGGTCTCAAAACAGAAGCAGCTAGGAAGACAGGTGGGAGAGCCCCACTAGATGACGGGAAGATCCAGGCTTCAGGGCTGGCATGCCCTCACTACCCCCACTGGGTTTTAAATGCAAAGTTCCAGCCCTTTCTCCAGCCATCTCCTTGGGACACCCATAAGAATGGTCATGGTGAGGAGGCGACAGGCCACTAGGAATGTGAGCACCATGGAGCAGGGCACAGGGCTCCCCATGCAGCACCTTCTGTGCACTCCACCAGGCCAGAGGGTCCTGGGACACCTACCACAAGCACCCAGTGAAGCAGAGCCAACAGCGGCAGTGGAGAAAGCTTGCCTGGCTGTCTTGGACATGATGTTCCCACGATGCGAAGGGAGGAGGGAAGGAGCCACAGAGATCCCTAGACAAAGCCCTGATTCCCCAGCCCGCCCAGCTCCTCATGCTCTGGCCCCAGCCAGGCTATGAGACTCCACATTGTTCTCAGAGAGCATCTGCCCCACCCACAGTGACCTGGAAAGCCCACGGCATGGAACATGCCGTCACCCAGGGAGGATAGAGAGCCGTCAAGAGGAGTGAAGAACAGGGAGCTGAATGTGGGGACTTGGTCTGGCCTCGGGGGAAGGCCAGGTAGAAGAAGCCAATAGCCAATGGGGGCAGAGATGCAAAGGCAGAGACCAGAGAATGAGACCCCCTTGCACGCAAGAGAACAGGCAGTGGAAACTTGACCTTGCACTTTCAGAGGACGCAGAGTCCGGGATCCCCAAATCAGAGGGGCAGCAGATCTGACTGTCCCTGAGCACCCTGAGAAAGCTCAACCTGGCTGTGGATCTGAGTCTGAAGATTAGACCAGGAGTGTGTACCAGGCACCACCCTCATCCATGGAGGACATTCCCTGCAGCAGAGGGGTGCTCACCCAACACAAAGACTGAGGAGCTGGCACTTGGGTTTCCCACCCACTTCACACCCCCCAGAACCAGATGTGATGAGAAGAAAAGCAGAGAATCAATATGTACTTGCTCCTGTCCCCAGACCTGGGCCTGGGCCAAGCACGGACAGGGCAGGGCAGGGCAGCAGTGCTGTAAAATGAGCCATGGAGGGGTCCTGATGGGAGCTCACCCAGAACACAGGATGAGGACTCCAACAGCCACAGCCCAGTAGGCAGGAAACAGGCCTTGCAAGCCCCCTGGCTTCACAGTGTCCCAAGAGCCCCATCAGCTCCACTGAGGCAGCAGGAACACCTGCTGAGGTAGACATGGGTCGGGGCAGAAGCCCCCAGAAATCATCTGGCACAGGATGACACAGACAGAACAGTCATTCCAATTGTCTGTGTCATGTGGGCACTTTCTACTTTTGCTCAGAGGAGTGAGCACAGTGTGGTGAGCAGATCAGCTGGCATGGAAAAACAAGGGTGGAAGGTGGGCAGGAGCAACCAGGCAAGGTCTTGGTGGTGCACAAAGGCAAGGAGGCTGTGTGCCATAGGATTGGGACCTGGATACAGTGCACACTGTCCCTATGTGGAGGGAAGGGCACAGTGTTTGGAGAGGTCAGCAAGGCCGAGACACCACAGCTTGGATCACCAAGAGGTGAAGACTAGAAGACAGGAAGGGGTAGGCTAGGCACCTACAAATCAGAAAGTTTGGCCATGTGCTTGAAGCAAACAGGGTGGAGGGGCCATCAGGAGCCAGAGAGTCAGGGTCAAGGATGGGAAGGGTCTCACCCAGGTGAGCATGGATTTGATGAGCTAGAAAGAGGCGGCACAAAGGCCAAGGGATGGAGTGGGTAGACAAGGAAACATTCCCCCCCAGGGCAGAGAGGTTAGCCCACTTAGAAGTCCCTCCTATATAAGAGAGCAGCAGGTGAGTTGAGGTGTGCACAGGCCAGCCAGGGGAGTGGGCCCCGCTCCTGACAGGGGAGGAGGGGAAGCAGCTGACTGCCCATGTGAGAAGGCAGGGTCAGGAGTGGAGCCGGGCTGTCTGGTCCGTGGGCGTGCTGGAGGCTGGAGCCTGCCCCCAGTTTCTGCACAGCATTAAGGAAGTCAGACAGAAGCTGGGAGTGCACCCTACAAGACCAGACTCGCAGGATCTGGCGGGGCTCCTAGAAGAAATGGGAGCTGGGGATTTGGGGCAGCTGCCACTATCCTCCTTGACTCCAGGGTGGGCCCCATGTCCTCTGTCTGGAAGGCAGGCGTGGATGAACCCTCTGGGGTACACAGAGTGTACCCTCAGCTCTGGGCAGCGCTTCCTTTACCGGAAGTAACAGAATATGAGAAGTCTCTGCTGGATTCCCCTGCCACACAGAAAGTAGGGAGGATGGCACCTGGGACTAGAGAGCGTCTGGTATGTGCCAGGCATTGTCCTTAACCTGCCCAAGCTCCCCATGCAAGCTTCATTTAGAAGCCACAGCATGGGAAACTCACCAGCCTTGCCAGGTGGCTCACTTGCTCACTCCAGGGTAAGCAGATGGCAGAGAGGCCAGGCCCAAAATCCAGGCTCCCATCCTGCTCTGTGTCCTTAGGGGCTACTACAGGGGACCTGGCTCTGGACTCTGCCTGGCCCGTTGAGCTCCTCTTTACTCAGCCTGCCCAGGATCCCTCTACCCCAAGGTGGGAGTTGGGGGAGGGAGGGTCCAACTGGCTGCTTCTGCCTTTTGCCCTCCTATCTGCCTTCCCTCCCCCTATAAGTCCCACTTCCTCCCCCTACACTCTGCTGCCTGATGGGGCCTCCTTCCCACAGCCCCACCCCTGCTCACACCCCTGCCCGACTTCCTCCCACTCTGGCTTCTCCCTTCTCCCAGTCCAGGCCTGTCGCCCAAAGCCTCCTTTGTTAACATCTCCCACACCCCTGCATGCCTGCCTCTTGTTCTCTGCTGCCCGGGCCTGCCCGGCTGAGGGTCCGCCAGCCTTGAAAGGCTTCTGGTCCTGGGAGCTGAGAGGCGGCACAGCCTGGCGGGGCTCGAGATCTGGCCAAGGTCTCAGGTGCACTCATGTGCGTGTGCTGTTCTAAGGGGGAGGCTCTCTGAGCTGCCCCATGGGCCATCAGCTGTGACATTTGCCAAATGAGCCAGTTAATTGCCAAATTTGTACTTTGAGACAAATGGTAATTACCCGGATAAGAATCTGAAATGCTGGATAGATTTCCCCGTTTCCACTAGGGTGTCAAGCAGAGAGGCATCCATCACTCTGCCGGGTCACAGTTCACCATTCCTTCCAGCTCCCTACAGCCTAGAGTCTGGCAGGGGCATGGAGGGAGAGGGGGCCTTCACCCTGGCACCCCTGCACCAGCGATGGGCCCTGAAGGGAGTCGCCTCTCCTTAGGATCCCCAAGGGAAGGAGACTCCAAAATTCACAGACCTCAGCCTCTGACTCCCTAAATAAGAAGCACCCAGGGCAAGGCCTGGGGGTCTGCATTTTTGCAGGTCACAGGACATCCCAGTCTGAGGACTGCTATGTGACTGACTGCAAGGAGCCCCTTCCAGTCTCCCACTACCACCACCACCACCACCACCACCACCAGAGGGACAAAGGTGTAGCTAACTAACGTGGTGGAAAGGAATCCGTGCTCTCACCCCAGAGGGCCGTAACTCATGTAAATATCTTGGCAGCCTCAAACCTGTTTCTCCGCCAATAAATTCTGTGCAGTGAGTGCCACCCTAGCAGGTTGCCATCAGGAATGACCGAGCCTGCATTCCCTTGGGACCAGTTGTCATCCACCTGTCAGCGATCTCTATTCTGCCCTGTTTCCTGTCTCAACATCTTGCTTCTCATTTTCCATCAGCTCCCAAACAGCTCACCCCACCTCTCTCGCCCACCCTGGCCTGGGGTAGATGCTCCGCAGCCTTTAGCCCGACCCAAGTCACTGCTGGCTACTGGGGAGCCAGAGACTGCAGGGCCAAGGACTGCTGGGCCTAGCAGCCTGGAGACTCAGCTTTCCTGAAAGCTTGGGCAACACGATGAAGAATGTGGTGCAGTGAGAGAAATGGACAGAGCTCAGTGGCAAGACAGGAGTTGCAGGGAGTGGACAGGGCAGAGGCCTAGCCCCTGTCTCCCTGGTATGTGCTTTCCCCGTGCTGCTTGCAATTACCCAGTGACAGGCAGCTGTCCACATCCCAGCCTGCAGCAGAGGACACTTGGAACACACAGAAAGAAGGGACACTTGGGCCATTTCCAGCTCACCTCCTAGCCCAGCCCAGCCTGTGAGATGCAGAGACAGACAGGAGGACATGTTTAGGACTGCTTTTGACACTGGGGTAAAATGAATCACGTTCTGGCCCACCAGCAGAGGGACTCAGCACATTGTCACATCCATCGAATGACCTCTGGCTAGAATGACTTCTGCACAGTGCCTGCAAAAGAGCCCCCGCAGTCATGGGTGTCACCTGCGGTTTCAGGTGGCCAAACCCAGACAGGCCTGCAGTTACCTCATCCAGGCCTGCAGAACAGGTTCTGCACAGGCTTCTTGCCACCAGCCATATGTGGGCTGATGTTTGGGTCCTGCAGGAGATACCCCTGGATCATGCCAGAATAGACACACTCCTGCCCTTTGGTCCCTCGACTCACTGCCCCTGCTCAAAAAGTGCCCAGGTCCGAGGGCCAGCGGGGCCGAGCCTGGACAAATAGCTGTGCTCCAGCACAGGTTCCTTGGCCCCCTCTCCAGCAGAGCAGGCATCCTTGACTAAAGCACATGTATCCACAATTCCACCCTCTCAGTGTCCCTTCCTTAAGGCCTTATCAAACTTGGGACAAAATGGGGTGAGGTTTGGGAAGGCTTCTTCCTTCCCCTGAGCCTGGGTCTCTGTCTGCAGGTGGAAGAGGAGACCCACGTGGAACCCAGCATTCTGTCGCCGGCCATAGGATGTTGACCTAACAGGTGCCTCTACAGAACTGGGCGGAGGTGACCAGTCTTGTTTGTGCGGCTGAGCTCTGCCTCCTGACCTACATCATGAGCCAGCAAGGGCAGGACTGTGTCTGCGAGTCTTACAGCAGCCCCCGCACCAGAACTTGAACTCAGAGTACCAGTGTCCAAGATCCTGCTGTCCCCAGAACCACCCTCTCCAGCTCTTCTTAAGCTTTCATTCATATCAAATTTGGGGCCAAACTCTGCAGCAAACAAATCGACAAGAGTGTACCTTGCTTGTGCCTGGGGCCTCCGCCCTCCCAGCATCTCTGCTCCCTCCCTGCCCTGACGCCTCAAAGTCATTTCCAAGAATCCTAGTTCTGCCATGGAAAACCATCACTCTGCCCCAACATCTTGGGGAAACTGAGGCTGAGAGAAAGGAAGAGATAGAGTCATAATACTGTAAGCTACCTAAAGGCAAAAGCCAGAACTTGGACTTGGTCTCATTTTCATAAACCCCATCTGAGCCTCAACCATGTCTTGGCTACAGTCAATGAAGATGGTCCACCATGGATGTGTTTGGACACCGCTAGTGGGCTCCCTAAAGATGGGCACAACAACCCTGCCTCTTCCTTCTCCTGTGTTGAAGTTTAAAGCCAGGGGTGAGGGCACAGGACAGGGAACCTGGGGACACCTTTTAGGGCCATAAGGCAGCTCCCATCTCTAATTCATCAATGCTGCCCAGAGGCTGGGAGAAAGACAGAGGGAAAGAGTCCCTAGTATCTCCTGGCCAGAAAAGCAGGTAGAGGGAACACTAGACTGTTCCAGCCCAAGGGATACAGAAGCTCAAGAGGAAGCTGAAGCTGACTCCCCTGTACTGGCTGCCAGGACGCTCTGCCCCCCCCCCCGGGACTGACCACAGCGGGAAGCTATGGAGCCGTGCGGGAGAGTGGACCAGCAATCTGAGGGTCAAGGAGCGGCAGCTGCTGTGGGGCCTTTAGCCCAGATCACCTTTCCCAGGTGTGCCATGTCCACAAGCCTGCACTTGCTCCTGCCCACAGAAATACAGGCATAATCACATGCATGGGACTCATGCAAGTACACTCACACGTCACAAACATGCCCACATGCACATCGACAGCCCTCGCACACGGAGGCACACCCCACACACACCAGGTCCACACGTGAGACACACACACACAGCACTCAGGGCCCAACTGAGGGGAGGACACAGGGGGTTAGGGGGAATCAACTCACTGCACTGCCCGAGCAAGGTGCAAAGTCAACCCAGACATCTCATTGCCACCCTCCCCAAATCCTCTCATTCCAGCCTCTTCCCTTACACTCACGAATCAATCCTACTCAGACAAAAATGCTCTCTTAAAAATAAGAGGAGAGAAAGAAGCGGGAGGAAGGGAAGGAGGGGGCATTGGAAGGAAGAGGAGGAAAGAGAAGAAGGAGCAAAAAGAATAAAAGGAAGAAGAAGCCGTTTGAAAGCCAGGCAGAGCCCAGGAGTGAATTACGCTCCATGAGGTCTCATTGCCTAATGAGCTTATCACACACCCCTGATCAAACCCCAGTCTGAGCTTCTGTTGACCCATCTGAGAAACACCCCGCCCCTGCCCCAGCCCCAGATCCTGGAAATTCACACAATTCAGGAGATCCCAAAGGAGGCGCTCAAGACCTCCTGGACATCCCCCACTCTAGGCAAGTTACCTCCTTCTCGGCCTTGGCCTCCTCCACGGTCACCGTACTGTGGTTCTTGTGTTCCTGGAACATGCAAAGGTAACAGATGCAAGTCTGGTCGGTTTGGCAGAAGAGCTCCATGGTCTTGCCATGCAGGGGACACTTGCGGGCCTCGAAGTCCCGGATGGGCTCGAGCAGCGGATGGTCACGGAAGGCGGCACCCTCCAAATGGGGCTTGAGGTGCAGATCACAGAAGGAGGCCTGGCACACCAGACAGGACTTGACGGCCTTCTGCTTGTTGCCGATGCAGGAGTCACACAGCACCTCCTCGGAGCCTGCCTTGGAGCGCAAGTGGAGACCCGCGTCGGTCCTCGGGTAGCTGTTCCTCCGGCTCTCAGCTGGCTCCACGATGGACACTGTGGGCTTGCGGGGCTCCGAGAAGATGGACTTGCGCAGTTCTCCCTTCTCAGCAAAGGTGACGGGCGGCTTCTTGGCAGCGCCCAGCTGCAGGCCAGCGTAGGGGGATCGCCTGCCTTCGGCCGAGTCCATACTGAAGTAGTTGGAGCCCTTGTCGTCCACCGACTCCACAAACTGGATGATGGGCCGGCGCCACTCGGAGCCCGAGAACAGGGCACTCTTGCCTTCCCCCGCTTTCAGGGCGCTGCCGCCCAGGTTCTTGCTCTCGGCCGCCTCCCCACCGTGCCCGTTGGTGGTCTTGGCGTCCTTGCTTTCAGCCTTGGTCCCGTTCTCCAGGCTAGCGCCGTTGGGGCCTGACGGGCTACGGGAATCCCTGCCTTCTGGGGTGGACCCGTTGCTCCTGGAGGCGTCCGCAGCTTCCATCCCGGGGTGCTGGGCTGGTCTGGGTCGAGCTTGCTGGGCTGCAGAGGAGGTGAACTCTGGCGGGCGTCTCAGCAGGGAGTGGGGCAGGCAGCCACAGGACCCGGAGACACACCTGCTGGAGGGGTGGAGGGGGGGTAGGCGGGGAGACCGAGAGGAGGCTAGGAATGGGCGGGGAGCAGCAGCCTGACACAACGGGCCAGGAAGACAGGAAGAAGCAGGCGGCTCCCACAGCCAGTAAGAGGCTAATTAGACCAGGGCCACGCCCCACCCACAGCCATTCCTCACCTGCTTTTTTCGTGTTTTTCTTTTCTTTTTTTTTTTTAAGTTTAGTTATTTTCCCCAACTCATCAACCAATCGATCTGCTTCTACCTGACATGTTGGCTTCTCTTCAGGGAAGCTGGAGGACTGTGTGTCCTCAGGTGGGCGGGCTCTGCCGGACAAAGGGGCCCCTGGGGCCACAGGGTAGGTGTTTGCAGAGGCCCACAAGACCGAGGACCATTAATTGGGTCACATAAGCCAAACAGCCTTGTAATTTGTGGACCTGGATTTCTGCAGGGAGATTCTTCCTCCTGAAACACAGCTCACTTTAAGGGGAAGGAGATGTCTGGCTGCTTAAGATCTGAGTGCTGTAATCAGCGACTCCAGTTGACCCCCTTCTTGCCAAGATGCAGGCACAGGTCTGGGTGCTCCCTGTATATGAGTTAATGCGAGCCCGGAGACAGCTTGTTGAAATGCTGGATGGCCTTAGTTGGAGGCCAGGGCTGACTGAACCCGAACCCAGGGCCTTGAAGATTTCAACAAGGCTGGCGTCTGAAAGGCTTTCCCAGCCCTTGCAATCCCAGCAGGTAGCTGGGAGATTTTGGATGTTTTCTGCCAGAGCATGTTAGGACTTGCTTGGGTCCCAAGACCAGAGACCCAGGAATCCCGGAGGGTGGAGGGAGGGAAGGAGGGCTCAGAACCCTGCAGGGCCGGGTGGCTAGGTCCTCAGAGCCAAACTCTCACCTGTCCCCCTTAGAGCTTTGTTAGATGACTCAGGGAGAATCTGCCCACCCCTCCGGGCCAGGCCACAGGTAATGCCCTCCCAAAACAGGCCAGTGCGGTGTGGGATTCAGGTCGTCTCAGCCATGAGACATTTGGGTGTGAGTCTCCGTCAAATGCAGGCCTCTGGGATAAAAGTAAGAAAAGTCAGAGCACGTCCTGCGAGAACACTGGGGACCCTCAGCTCCTGTCAAAAATGCTGCTGGGTCATTTCCAGACTGTGACCCACTGCCAGGGCCCTAGACAGCCATTACCAAGTTCAGGGCTGTACCTCTTCCAGGCTGGGCTGGACAAGACAGAGCAGACAGCAGGTGTGGCTGGAGTGGCAGGTTCTGAGCTGTGCGTGGAGGGGAGGGGGGTTCCCTCCTCCCCCTTTGAATCCAGGTCAGGTACTTGGGCCCCCACCCCTTGGCTCACAAGGTTGAACAACTAATCCTTTGCAGTAACAACCTCTGGGAACAAGGACAGAGACAAGCCTAGCTCACAGTCTGAGCTTAAAAGGAGGTGCACGTGGTGGTATTGGGGATCACTGGTTTTTTGGTAGGGATCCTCCTACCAGCTGACATCTCTGTCCTCAAGCCCTGTAGCAACCCCCCGCCCTTGTTTGAACTCACGGCTAAATGTTCAAGGAGGTATCTCGGTGGGGGGGGAAACCCCTCTATCCAAAAAGTTAGGCCCAGTTTCACTAGGCTGCTGTGTCGGGGCTAGAGGCAGAGGAGAACATAGATAAATACCGTCCTGATCTGCTGGGTGGACATCCTTCTCCTCCCACCAAGAATAGACTATATGGGGAAAAGAACAGAGCAGCAGCTGCAGAAGAGCAAAGCCCAAGGGTTTGGACCCAGATCCAATGTGAGTGCCACCTGAGCCTGGTGCTGTACTAGGAGGCTCTGCCAGTCATTAGAGTTCATGTGCCTGCATTCCAGACACTGAAAACAAGACGTTGAGCCTCAGGAATATGTTAGCACAGAGTGGCTGCTCAGAAAACGTTTCTGGGTGGGATGATGAACACAAGGAAGAAATAAAAGATGAGTGGGAAACGGATGGATGGATGTGCGAATGGATGGATGGATGGATGGATGGATGGATGGATGGATGGACAGACGGATGGATAACAGAGATGAGGATGATGGATAAGTGGGTGGAAGGAGCATGGGTGGATAAAAAGCTGTAAATTTCAAAGTACAAGATAAGGAAAGGGCTTGACTGAGGGAGGAAGATAGACAAAAAGAGAGAATCGAGAAGAAAAGGAAAAGGAAGAGGGTGACTAAAGGTAAGTAGGTAAGTGAATAGAGTGTCCCAGTGTGCTCATAGAAGCCCAGCCACTGACCCTGACTCAGCAAAGCACTTTTCTGTAGATTTCACCATCTGTCAGCCTCAAGCTATCAACCCGAGGTGTGGTAGGAAGGGAGGCATTCAGTTGGCTGACCCAGGCCAGCAGGAGCCTGCTCCAGCACCCTGGAGAACTGAAGGATGGTCATGGTTGAGGAGAGGGTTGTAGAGGGAGGATGAGGGGCAGGGGAGGCTGGAGAGTGCTGTTCTCAGGTGTCCCAGGAGGACAAGTATGAGAAGCAGATGGAGCATCACAGAGCATCCCCATGCCCGGGCTTTCCCTCTGCCCAAGCTCCCGTGACCCCTGGCTGTCCCAACCAATAGATCACTCAGTGCTGTCAAACAATCCCGCCACGGTTTCTCTGGTGGGTGTCCTACCACGAAGCTAATCACCACACAAGGATGCTGAGCCCTACTGTTGTTGGGGAATCAGGCCACACGGCCCCTCTTGTCTCGAGGGAGATTCTCCCTGGTGGAGGCCGTGTCCCCTGGAAACGCCAGAAGCCAGGAGCTTGCAAAGAATGCAGAGGAAGGACTTACAGAAACAACTGTCCGTCTGGGTCTACTCAGAGCCTTCACCCCACCAGGCCCGCTCCGCGGAGCTGCACAGAAGAGGCAAGGATCTCACCTCCCAACCTCCAGGGTATTGAGATCTAGGAGGCCGCTGAGCACCCACAGCTCCTCCAGGCTCACCACTCTGACACTGCCATTAATGTTTCCCCGAGGGGCTGACCTCTGGGGGACCCATCCGCTAGGGTCTCACCCCGCTCCATCCAGTCCTGAATCCAGGGGCACAAGTCCCCGGAAAGGACAGTTCCTAGTGGCCTTTTGGGGGTATCCTGTAAAGTGATGGGGCAGTCCCCAGGCCTCGTGACACCCACCACTGAGGCTGAGGGAGACGGGCTCCTTATTTGTAAAAGCCTGGACACAACGGAAGGGATTCTGAGTAGCTGTCACCCACCTCTCCTCCGCCATTCCTATTCTGGTGATCTGGCTAGAACCGTTCACCTTTCTCCCTCTGCCTGCTGAGGTCGGAATCTGACCAGGTGCAAGGAGAAGCACCAGCAGGTGCGGCTTCCGGTGAAGCATCCTTTTCCCCTCGGCGGGTGCGGCTCACACCTGTTCCCAGGCTGCCTGGGGCCAGCCAGCCCCCACGCCCACCTGAGCCAAGCCCAAACATCCTCCAGCCAGCCCCCACACAGACTCCGCCCCCCACGCCCACCTGAGCCAAGCCCAAACATCCTCCCAGGCTCCTTTCACGAGGCATCTGGAAGCCTGCCGGGTGAAGCAGCCTCACCCACCCAATGCGGTGGCCCAGTCACAGTGGATTCCGCCCCCGAACATCTTCACTTGAAAGAGGAAAATCTCTTCACAGAAGGAGACTCCCCTCAGCTTTCTGGAACTCCCAGGGTTGGGAGGGAGTGGCCAGCGGGTCCTTCCCTCCGCTGCTGTACAAGACTCTTTCTAGAAAGTCTTTCATGTGTGCTTTTAAAGGACTCCTTATGCTTTAAAAGGACTTCTGAAGAGGACAATTTCACGGTCCTCTTTAGCCGCTCTTTCCAAGCTTCCAGGCAGGTGGCTGCAGGCAGTTCCTCGTAGAGTCTAGATTTAAGTACCTTGGACATGACAGCTTCCTGCACGGTTAGAGCTGAGGTCCTTAGTTTCTGATCCTGCTGAGGACCAGCTAAGGGCAGTCGCAGGTGCAAGGGCCTGGTTTCCATGCTCACGTAACTCTTTGGATTTTTTTTTTCAAGATTTATTTTATTTTTATTTGAAAGGCAAAATTACAGCAAGAAGTTAAAACATAACTTCCATCTGCTCATTTACTTCCCAAATGGTCACAACAGCTGGAGCTCAGCTGATCTAAAGCCAGGAACCAGGAGCTTCATCCAGATCTTCTACAGGGATGTAGTGCCCAGACTACTGGACCATGCTCTGTTGTTCTCCCAGACACATTATCAGGGAGACGGATCAGAAGTGGAGCAGCCAGGACTCGAACCAGCATCCATATAGGATGGCAGTGTTGCAGACAACAGCTTTACCACTATGCCACAGTACAGGCCTTGTGCTGAGAATCTCTTGATGTGTTTACCACTAGAGTTAGATGCCTTTAAGTGAAGGAGAGCCCCTAGATAAAATGGGTGTATGTTTCCCATCAGTCAGGAGGCCTGAAAAGTTATAACTGAAGTTTCTTGGAAGCAAAGAAAATCCTGCCATTGCCTCCCCTTGGGGATCTAGCCGGTTGGTCTGCCCTCTGGATTTCAGCACTGTCTTGGGAGCCACAACCTGAGAATGAGACACTTCATAAAATGCACTCGTGCTCCTCAATGCACAGCAAACTTACATTCTGAGAAACCCATCGCAAGTTGAGAATGCGAGAATGTGCTAAGCTTACCCTACCCCACACCACAGCCAAGCCTTGACTCTTAAACTCACATTTGGGGCCAGCAATGTGGCACAACTACCTAAGCCACCACCCACAATGCCAGCACCCCATTATCTGAATGTCGGTTTGAGTCCCAGCTGGCTCTGCTTTCCATCTAGCTCCCTGCTAGTGCATGGGAGACCCAGATTGAATTCTGAGCTTCTAGCTTCAGATCCACCCAGCCTGTTCAGGCCATTCCATTTAGGGTTTAAACCCGTGAATGGAGAATCCCTCTGTTTCCCTCACTTTCTTTGTCATTGTGCCTTTCAAAACAATCTTTTAAAAAAATAGTCTAAACTTGCTCAGAGCACAT